TAACTTCTGCTATAGACTTTCTTTGATGATAGTATTGTCTATTTTAAGCGTAAATGTATGTGTATGTATAATTACATACTGATGTTCCCCTCAGTAATAATGTAGAAAACAATGAAGTTCTAATATTTTTCTTTTCCAAAACAAACTTGGTTCAGGGATCTTATCTATTTTTTCATTTTCTGTTTCATTAGATTTCTACTGTTCTCTCTTCAATATTGTTATAAGAATTTGGAAAAATTCCTTTTGGGTTACCAGAGGATACAATGGAAATTGGTTCTCATCCTGGGATTCTTAGTACCATTCATAAAAGACTTTTAAGTGGACTCAAATGGAAGGAAGCTCAATGAGAATTTTATTAGAGTTTGAAAGTAAAATGCACCTCTGGCTAGCTAGCTCTAAATCTCAGCTGATTCCCAGAGGTTGGCAATGTAGGAGAGAAGGGGAAAGCAAAAATAGAAACAAACAAATTTAAGAAACACGCTGTTCAGGCCAACACAAAGTTCAGATACAAGGTGAACAAGTGGTGAGTATGGGCCTTTTGAGAGATAGTCATGCAGCCCATAGTACAAGAGAAAGCAAGCTTTGGTACCGGCCAGCCTTTGAAAGAAAGATAGGAAAAAAGTAAAAGAAAAAGTTGTTCCATCTTAGCCAGGCCTCAGAAAGGTGAGGAGATCTTTCTGTACTTCATTGTGGCTCAGCTAGCAAGAACTGTCTTGGGAGAAGAATTCTGAAACAACAACAACAACAAAATATCTCATTAAAGGAATAATTGTTCTGCCTCTTTATTTAGCATGACTTATGTTTAACTTGCCTTCCTAGGGTCCAAGTAAAGATTCTATTCTCTTGATGTGAAGTTTATTTAGTCTTTTTTGCTGTTCTAAGGATAGTATTTCCTTCATTCTGTTTGCTCCTGATTTACTTCGGTTTTGGTTTACTTGAGGTGGAAGCCAATTCACTTCAATGCTTAATATAAAAGTATTACCTTTCTATGAATAACTATTGTCTGCAAGTTTAATACAAACAATTACCTCTACTACAAGCCCTGGGGTCAATGACTATTATGGTTGGGATCTTCAATGCCAGCCAGTTCAGTAATCACATTCCAAATTCTCCTATTTGAGTCCAGCCTCCAGGGCATTCTTCCAGGTCAGAATCACAGGAAGTATTCTATGGTGGATGTAGGAAGGTAGGCCTTTCCAGAACACTGTGAATATAAGCACAGGTATAAACAGCCTGTGTAGCTGAGCAAGGCATGTGATCACAGATCAGTGACAAGAAAAGACACAGCAACTCCTCAGAAAGCTGGAGCATGGATTAGCCATTGAGAATTTTTTGACTGAAAAGGAGAGAGGAGGTAATAGCATTTGTATTCTCAACTCTGCAACATACATTTGGGGTTCTCCTTCTTCCTAAGGCCCCATGAAGACCATCTCTGCTCTTGGGATTTTTGTTTGTTCACATTTGGCTTTCTGTCTGTCAGTGTGTTTATGTCTGTCTGTTTGTTTGTGTTTTCAGGACTTGTTATAGTTTCATTTGAAACTCAGAGAAAAAAAGGTTTGGTTTAGCTTGTAATTCCAGGATACACAAGGAAACTGAAAGCAGGAACTCAAACATCACACCCACAGTCAATAGCAGAGAGAAACAAGTACACCCATGCTACCTGTTTGCTGTGTGATGATCACCTAGATCTCTTTATTTTTCTTACACAGTGTGGGATCCAGTGTCTAATAAAACAGTACCACTGACATTCATGGTGGTACTTACCATCTCAATTAACAATCAAGGCAATCCTCCACAAACACACCGGAAGGTCAACCATATCTACACAATTCCTTAGCTGAAATGTTCATCCTACCACTCTAGGTTGTAGACTTGGACATTTAATACCACGATAGACAGTGTCTCAGGAAACCTGGCCTACAAAAACTCACACTTGTTTCTATAGCAGGAATCTTAAAAGTTCTTATTAATAAAATCAAACCTGAGGCCAGTTATTGGGGTCAATGCTGGTAGATCAGAGAGACAGAACAAGCCACAGCTAACCTCACCTGGCCAGATCCTCAGCTGGTCTTGTTTCCTCAGACTGGAAGCTTCTGTGTCCTCATCCAGAATGTTTCTCAGCTGAACTGTGCTGCTAGAAGCCTGAAAGCTTAACCAGCTAAATGCTTAACCAGCCAAATACTTCTAGTTTCTGGTCCTCATGCCTTATATACCTTTCTGCTTTCTACCACCACTCCCTGGGATTAAAGGCTGGCTTTCTGGGATTAAAGGTGTGTGTCACCATGCTTGGCTATTTCCAATGTGGCCTTGAACTCACAGAGATCCAGAGGGATTTCTATCTCTGGAATGCTAGGATTAAAGGTATGAGTGCCACCATTTTCTAGCCTTTGTATTTAGTGGCTGTCTGTTCTCTGACCCCAGATAAATTTATTAGAGTACACAATATTTTGGGGAACACAATACCACCACATGTTTCCTCTTGTTTCTACCTTCCAAGTGATAGGATTATAGGCATGCACTACCAAACTGTTCCTTGGTGGTGATCATGGTGTGCTAGGGATTGAACCTAGGAAACTAACCTATCATTACCTGTTAGGTGAACACTATACTCAATGAAAAACCTACCTTTTTCTATTCTTGAAAAGAAATTTTAATCATTGACTCATTTCAACATTGAGATTACCTCCTCCTAAAGAGCTGAAATATTTCAGGTGGCATCTACACTGTGATGGACATGGGCTGTATCATGATGGATGCGCCAAAGAACAACATCTATTCTCCTGAACCATCTATAAAATTTCCATCTTTAACCTGCATGTTTTCTAGCATGTGGTTTCATCAGGCTCTTTACCACTTCACTGGAATCCCTTCATCCTCCAAGACTCTGGAGTTTTCCAGAATGTCTTTTACCTAAACAAGGCAGTATGTCAATTCATGTGCATGCCCTCCCTGTTCACAGCTATTCCTATACCTTAGAGAGACTGATCCTGTCATTGTCAAAGTACACTGACCCATGGATCTTCCTAAACTCCACCAAGGAGGATCTTCTAATCTTGTGACCCTTGCTAGGGCTCAGTTTCCCC